TGAGTTACCTTTGCCTTCAGTACAAGGTGCACGATGTGCCAGTGGGAAACGAACAGACCAAAGCTCTCATCAAAACGGTACGATCCTGTTCTCATTTCTGTCCAGTCCTTCATAATACTTTCAAATAAATCAGAGGAAAATATTGTAATTCCCAGATAAGCCCGTCGCAGTAAAGAATTAATCAACTAATGACATATAAATTAAGATAGGCTCAACAATTTCCGTTCAGAAATTGAGCTGGTTTTATATTTTTTCAAGGGCATTTATGTTTATGGAGAAATTAATCCATTTTATTTATTGTTTTTGTTTTTTATTTTATTTAAGATTTCTTCCAGTTCCAATGTCAAGCGTTCCTTACAAATTAAAGTTTATTGGTCTTTGAGGCAGAGCAAACTTGCATTATTTTGCAATCTTGAATATAATGCTCGAAAATGGTCTCCAATAATATTATCGCTTATCGCACTAATTACTCGGACAATTTATCGTCCAGCAAAATGTGTTATTGTGGCAGGTCTATTCCAAAAATGCCATTTTAATGTTTTGTAACCAACATGGTGCATTTCTCTTGGTGTTTTTTAAGGAAGCGTTACCTTTCTATCAAATTTCTGTTTACGTTTTTAGGGAAGTCTCTACCTTATTGTTTTTAATGTTCTCTCAGGTGATTGAGGAGCCCTACCTTAAGGTGTTATACACAACAGACGAGAGGTACACTGTGAAAAGGTCCTTCTATTCCAACAAGATAAGCACCAGCAACTCGGCAGTGCACGCCTCTCAGTACCTCTCAATAACCGTGGATGCCGAGGAGAAACGGCAAGTGGAGCAGCAGATGAAGGTAAGAACTTCATATTAAAGCAAACCTGAAAGCAAAACCCAAACCCTTTCCGTCATGGTTCAGGAATCTTGGTTCAAATACAGAATGTTGGGTTTGCTTCTTCGGATTTCAACCAGTCTTGTTCATCCCTGTTCCAATTAGGCCTGCGAGTCAAGACTGCGAGAGATTGATGAGCAAATGAAGGGCCTGCAGAAGGAGGCTGCCGCTCTGGATCGCAAAGAGAACGAACTGTTATCAGAGAAGAAACGTCTCTCTGAGCTCAAGGGGAAGAGGAGACAACTGGAACAGAAAATCAGCACAAAACAGGACAGGTGAGCCTGTGGGGAAAGGACAGAGGGGTGTTTTTTTTTTTTTTTGTAAATATTGATATATTTTTATACTTTAATGAAAGCACATCTCTGTAAAGTGGCATAGATGGGGCGAATTTGAACTTTAAGAACAATCTAATCCTTTTCTTGTATGTTTTTTAGTCTGAAGCAGATGGAGCAGAATGTTGTCGATCTGAAAAAAGTTGAAGAGGAAACTAAAGAAAAAATTAAGGCAGTCAATTTCCTGAAGGTCACCATAGCTTCAGCAATGGTGGCCCAAATGAAGGTATGAAATATTCAACCTTGAAACAAAGCACGTTCAAGATTGCCCTGTGTTTCCTGTATGTGGGGGGTTTAAAGCCCTTAAAGATCTGTCATTTCTGTAATGCAATGTGTTCACATGCTGCAGAGCAACACTACACTGCACTGCGCATTAACACTTCCACCGTCTTCTCATCGTCTGCAGCTGAGAGCCAAGCTGACGATGGAGAAGGTGCATCTGGCTTTGGAGATGGCGGGGTTAACAGCAGAGAAGAACAAGCTGGAAAACGACTTCAGGGAAAGTGCCTCTGATTTTAAAACCATGGAAGTAAGAATAGCAACGCACCGCTGGACTGCTGTTGTATTTCTGCCGAGGATCTGGTGGCTCCGCCTTCATTTACCTTGTCATTGCAGCAAAGATGCAGCCGTCTGGAGCAGAGGAAGGTCCAGCTGACTGAACAGTGCAAAGGCCTGCTGAAGAGGGCGAAGTCCAACTGTCGGATGCAGCCAGACGAGGCGTTGTCAGAAGACCTGCGCCACGTTAGTCTTCATCCTCCCATCTTCATGTCTTCTGACAGAATGGCGTGAAAGCCTTTTGTGGCTGATGTATATTTATTAGCTGTTATGTTGATGCAGGCTTTCAGCAAACTGCCCGACACGCTGGATGAGGTCGATGCCATGCTGAACGAGGAACGCTCCAGAGCCGAGTGCTTCACTGGTCTCAGTGAAAGCGTAAGACGGTCAAAAACCTGTTTAATTTGGCGATTTGTAAAAACAGGGATTTTGTCACTAGTGAAGAAACCTAAGCTTATTATTGTGATTATTTCACAGCAAAAACACAAAACCTTAACTAGTAGTTTGGTATAGTGAAAATGTCTTTTGTACACTAAAATAAGACAAAACTAACTTACACATGGCTTTCTGGCAAGATGGATGAGCTTGTTTTAAGTAAATAATTCCTTAATGTTAATTAAAAAAAAGTACAAGGTACCCTGGCAAATAATTTCACATATGACAAAATGTCTTATTAGTGAAATGATCCACCAGTGTAACTATTACTTTTTCAATAAGTGTTAAGGAATTATGAACTTAAAACAAGCTCCTATAGCTTTTTGAAGTTACTTTTAATTTAGTTTTGTCTTTTTTCCATGTGAATGAAGATATTTTTACTAGAAAGTAGACCAAAAAGATTTTGTTTATGTGCAGTTTTTCATGTGTTGGGGTGTAAACATTTGTCCTGTTTGACCCTGTGGTGAAGGTTGTTGAGGAGTACAACAGGAGAGAGCAGGAGATCAAAAACCTGGAGAAAGAGCTTCAAAAAAAGACAGACTCCTTGAATGCCTACAGGCAGAATATATCTGAGGTGCGTCGTGTCATGAGCAGCAGTTCTACTGGATTTGTGTTGGCTGTAGTTTTTCTAACGGTGTGTGTGTGTCACAGGCGAAGGAACGCTGGCTGAACCCTCTGAAGCAGCTGGTGGAACAGATAAATGACAAGTTCAGTGACTTCTTCCGCTCCATGCAGTGTGCAGGAGAGGTGGATTTGCACTCAGAGAACGAGGTAAAAACAATCGGCGGTAAAACAAACTGCAGAGATAAATGATAATCCATGATCAAGAGCTTTATTCTAACAAGTGTGTGTGTTTTAAATATTAGAATCAATTATTATGTATGTAGATTGAACCAAATTTTAAATAAAAAGGTAAATGTCCTCGTGCACAAACTTTGTTGATCGGTCGGATTGTTTCATGTGTGCCGTCGCGCTCTCCTTCAGGAGGAGTACGACAAGTACGGGATCCGCATTCGTGTGAAGTTCCACAGCAGCACGCAGCTTCACGAGCTCACGGCGCACCATCAGAGCGGAGGAGAGCGCAGCGTCTCCACCATGCTTTATCTGATGGCCTTGCAGGAGCTGAACCGCTGCCCCTTCAGAGTGGTGGATGAGATCAACCAGGTACATGTCACTCCTAATTATACTTTCATTTACAGTATAATTGACAGCCTGATGTGAAATCGAAGTAAAAGGTGCGCCATAAAGAACTGCAACTGGAGAAAGTTTCTTAGACGAGTATCTATGTGTGTGTGTTTCGTTCCTAGGGAATGGATCCTGTAAATGAACGGAGAGTGTTTGACATTGTGGTCCGGACCGCCTGCAAAGAGACGACGTCTCAGTACTTCTTCATCACGCCAAAAGTAAGGATGTCTACTTGATTGACCGCAGTTTGTGTGTCACTCCCTGTTCTGCAGAGCAGCTTTTGTGAAATACTCGACCATTAATCTGTCTGTTTTTATTCTTATTATTTAGCTCATGACCATTTTGCGATTTAACTTAATATTTCTTGCCTATGAATAAAAATCTGCATCTCAACAGCTCTTGGACAAAAACCTGTTGTTTTCTGTTTTTGGCACCCTTCAGAGAAAGTTGTGTATATATATATATATATATATATATATATATATATATATATATATATATATATTTTTTTTTTTTTTTTTTTTTCTCTTAGGTTCTGAACTCTTAGTATTTTTGTTTGTCTTTTATCTGTAGCTGCTGCAGAATCTGCAGTACGCCGAGGAGATGACCATTCTCTGCGTCCACAACGGGCCTCACATGCTTCCTCCCAACGAATGGGACAAAACGGCTTTCATCCGACGCCGCCTCCAAAGAAAAACCAGGGCGTAAACCCAACACGGCTAAACAAATCTGGCACTGGGATGTTTTACACAGGGTTTAAAACTGGATGTTGTTTAGTTTTTCGTGCCTCGCTTACATCTTTGACTTTACGTTTTTATTTTTGTGGTTAACTAGACAGATTTAAAGTCACCATTTACTATTTGCACATTTCCACTTTCTCTTCAGTCTGTTTTGCATGAAGCAAAAAAAATGTAAGATGGTGTGATTATACATCTAAATAAATTGTTTTGTAAGTCAGTGAGTTTCTCTTTTATAAAAAGGAGACAAACTGAAATGTCCAAAACTACTTTTTTTTTTCCGTCTTGAAAAGACTGGAAGCACAGAAAAATTTAAGTCGAGGATAAAAGAGAATAAAATTAAAAGCAGAATTTCTGGAAAGCTTAAGGGGGATGACACCGATTTACATTTAGATGATGATCTCCATTTTGGGTGAGATTTTCTAGCGACACAACTGAACACAAATGGTAATTAAACATTTTTTGACGAGTTAATTTTGCTTTTTGAAACAAAACTTAAATGTCCTTTAACTAGATTCAGTTTTGCATTGTAATCCCCATTTCTTTCTTTGACATATGAAATTCAGGTATTAATTTACAAGTTTTTTTTAAGTCATGAGTATTTAAAGCATCTCTATTTTCTTAAGAAAAACCAGCCCAGATCTTTAAGTTTTATAGATATAGACTGATCAGTTTGTCCAAAAAAATAATAATAAAGTACTGAATTTATTCTTTTCTGCACTGCCAAATTAAAAGCCGCTTCAACTCTCTTCTTTTTCTACTTAGTGAATGTTTAGTTTTCACCAAGCCAAAAGAAAAAAAAAAATTAAGAGTATAGAGTATGAAAATGATATTACAGTAGACTGCATTGTTCTGTTTTTGGTTTGTTTAAGCACAACCAAAACAAGAAGCACAGACAGGACTGTTTTATTGTCAGGACTTCCTGGTTAGCAGCAGCAGTCATTAGTAGTTCTTGAAGCCTCCTCTGAAGCTGAAGTTCTAATTGCTGAGAAAGCAGAGCGCCTGCGAATATTTTCCTGTGGTGGAAGATGTTCATGTTCAAAATAAAATGACATTTACTTTTCAGAATGCGTTGATGTTGAATCAAGTATTAGCTGCTGTGTGTGCTGATCTCCTTACAACATTTTACCCGTCACGTCACGTAGTGGTAGGTGTTCCTCCTCGGGTCGACCCAAACTCTGATGCCGTTCTCTTGCTCTTGTTGCAGCTTGAGCTGCTTCTCTAACTTTTCCCTTTTCCTTCAGATTAAAAGAAAAAAAAGAATTACACGTGTTGAACTGCCTGAAACCCCCCCTGACACATCATCCCTCTCACCCACAGTTTGCCAACATTGACGGTTTCTCTCTGCAACAGCATTTCATTCTTGCTCCAGAATAAGGCTGTGTGGTGGTCGTAGACGGTATTCAGCTTGAAATCCAGGCTATCCTTAGGAACCTGAGGATGACAAAGGAGAAAGTTCCTCCTTTGAGATGTGAACGGGTGCTGGAGGTGGCTTTATCTGCACAGAGTAGCAAATGTTTTTTTTGTTTTGTTTTAATAAACAAGAAATGCAACGCTACTAATACCTGATTATTTTAATAAATACGGCTTCCTGACGGTGGACTTTGTCTGGTGTAATTCATCTGCCCATCACAATGTAAATTATGTCTATGTGTAGGCTTTTCTGTCGTTTTCTTTTTTTTTAAACTCTCATTGTGAGCCTCAGTGATCTTGCACATTTTACCCAACAAACCTCAACATATATCTACATGAACATTGTCATTTAAATGTTTTACACAACAGCAGGGCTGCTAAAATATATATGTTTTTTATGAGAATATAAAAATTGGATTTAACTGCACCACTTTATAGTTTGAAAGTATTAAATTGCTGTGCAATAAACAGCTATTTATTTACTCACTTTGTCAAAAGGGTAGGGCCTGCAAAAACCGGATACCTTCCACATAAGTTGGTTTAAAGCAATTTTCTTTTAATTTTTGTTGAATAATTGACGCATTATAAAAATTACACAACATCCTTTAGGATGTTGTGTAATTTTAACTCAGCAACAAATCGTCAGAGTGAAGAAAAGAAATGATTCAGGGGTCAACCTAAAAACTGGAAAAGCTTCTTCTTCTTTTTTTCCCCCTTTGTGAGTCACTTTCTCTCGTTTTAGCTAAAAACATGGAGCTGAAAAGCAAACCGCCTTCCCGCCGTCACTTCTCGCGACAGTCCCGCGTTAACGACCTCATAGCTCAGCCCACCTGCCGACGGCCGAGCTCGTCCCCCAGCGGCGGAGAAGAAGGGTTCGGATTCCGTCTCGACATGTCGAACGGCTGAGCGGAACCCGGAACCGGAGCCTGGACCTTTGCTGCTGTCACCAGAGACCGTGTGGCGAACTCCAGCGTTGCCTGGCAACCCGGTTTCCGGTTCGCTCAGAAGACATACGGGGATTTTGTCTGTTCTGAAGTTATGAATAAAGATTTTTTTTCCCATCCCTTTGCCAAAATGATCTTTAAGATAATTAAAATGTAAACGTCGTATTTACATTTTCACAAATATATGAATAAAATTGATGTTTCTCTTAATGTTTAATATAATAAAATAAAGATTGGATATTTCTCCTGATATTTAAACTTATTTACTCAGTTTTTTTTATTTAATTTTATTTTTTATCCTTGTCAAGTAAATATCTAGACTTAACATTTTAACTGTTTTATTTTAGGAAAAAGTGAGAAGAATGAACTCTTGAATGTTTGGTACTAAACTTTTAATAGAAAGGAAACAGAAAGGGAGCTTTCTTCTAATGCTAAATTATTTTAACAGTTTTGATGGGTGAAGCAAAATGTGAGGGGCGAGAGGGTTGAACTCTTTTCACATCACCTTGCAGAACATCTGGGCCAATCAGCTCGTCCTATTTGCTCCCAGTAAACCACACCTCTCACCGGTAGGCACCTGAGGGCCCAGGTCAACACTCCTGCATCACCACAGTGCTGCCAGAGCTGAGATGGGTCACCTGAGGATCTGCGCTCTTTCTGCTGTTTTATCGTGGCTGCTTTTCGCACACACCTCTGCAGATTTGCCCATGTGCAAAGAGGTGAGAAGATTTACACTATTGTTATCATCAGTTACTTTTTCTCCCCCCCCCTTGTTGATGTCAGCTGAGACAGATGGAGGGGTCATGAAATGCTGAGAGATGTTACAGTATGTTTGGATAATTTTGTAACTGGCAGAAATACTCAACTAACACCAAATTAAATATAAAGCAAGAAGTGCAAGTAATAATTTAGAATACATTGATGTTAAGAAATGCTTCCAATTATTTAAGTTGGGTATTTCGGAAGCTGTAACAACATTTTGGCTTTCCTGATGTGCTGTGTGAGGGGGGGAAAAAATGTTCATAGCAAGAGTTTGTATTGCAATCTGCTCCCATCTGTTGTTATGGTTATTAAACACTTGTTTTACGACAATGTCCATATGTTGCAGTGTGCTCTGCGCTCGCACCACCCTCCCTTATCTGTTTTCGGTTCGCATGAGAGCAGTTCATTTTCCTACCAGCCAAAACCGTCTTTATATCAGCCTACTCTGAGTCACAGTGTACTACGAGCAGCTTTACAGTTCTACTAGGTTTCTGTTATTTCTTAAAAGGTAAATTTACAAGTAATCCTGAACAGGTGAGTCTGTTTCCATGCCAGTTTCTTTGACCATGAAGAACAGCTGTCCCGATGACCTGTTGCCTTGGTTTCCCTCATGTTTGTTCATTGGAGGTGATTAAGTTAAGACCCATCTCCAGTTTGCTGCATTTTTACATTAGACGCCCCCAATGAAACACGCTAATTCCCTAAGGCCGGGGCTTTAACAGAAAAGCAGAGGCGGAGGAGTGCCAGTGCTGCTGTTTCTGTCAACTATTAATCCCACAAAGCAGCGATTGGCCCCCCGAGTGACCTTACCTGGACGATTACACCTTGTTGTTGACCAGAGACCAGATCTGCAGATTATGCAGAGCTGGGGGTGGTGTCACGTCCCAAAATACATCCCTTTGGCTCTGATCGGTTGAGCATAGTTAAAACGTTGTCCCTGCGCCGCTGCTGGTTCAAACAGCACTCTAACATTTGTAACATTTGTTTACTGAAGGACTGTAAGGATCAGCCTTTCTGCCGTTAGCTCAGCAAATAATCCCTGAAAAACCACAGAGCATCCTTGATAGGTTTAACAGCTGAAATGGCTCCAGAACAAATATTAGCCTATCCTTTTATTTGTTTAGGAGGCTGGCCTGGATAGAGGATTGAAATACCAGAAGTGCATAATGACCCAGTGATCTCATTTTTACAAACTGTATTATCTTTATTTATTACTTTCATTCTTGGTTGGTGATCTGTATTGTTTCACTCCTAGGTGATTGGTTTCAAGCTGTTTTTATTTGATTTATTTTTCTTAAAATGTTTTTTCCCTGAAATATTTGCATTCTTTTATAAACACACTTTGTGACGCTCTGTGTGAAAGTCACACCTGTGTTTTGCCTCTGCAGTCCGATTATCACTTTGAGTACACAGAGTGTGACGTACTCGGGTCGAGATGGAGGGTAGCGATTCCCAACAAAGCAGAGACATGCACGGGCCTCCCGGACCCAGTCAAAGGGACTCCCTGCAGTAAGTGACCACCGGGATCTGAAAACCTATTTTACACATTTACTGCCCTCTACATGTTCAATATATAGTGCTTGCAAAAATATATCAATAACTGTTTATATAATTGTTATAACCCCAAATGCATTTTTGGGTGACTTCATCTAGCTGATTGACAAAACATTGTCAGTCAGCATTGCGAAGTGGAAGGACAATTTTTTACATTGGTTTTCGAAATATTTTAAAAGTGTGCCATTCATGTATATTTAGCTCGCTTTGCAGTAAAAGTGGGCAAAAGGTTCATAGTAAAGGGTAGTTTTAAAATGACATCTAAAACTTTGGAGAAATTCATGGAGCACTTTTCAGTTCATCATCTGAAAATGGAAAGCGTACCAAACTTCACCTAAACTGAGTGTTTATCAGGGTAGGAGCCAAGAATCCCACGGTAACTCTAGAGGAGATGCAGGAATCCACAGCTCAGGTGGGACAATCCTCATGTTGTGGTGGTGCTTTGCAGATTTGACAAGAAGATGTCCGGCCTTCAAATAATCTGGCGAACCATTGTTTAAGACGACTTTAAAGAAATTCATTAAACTCTGATACGCTGGCAGATCACATTTAAATGAATTAGAGAGGGTTTAAACATTTGTAACAGCACTGCTTATCTAGGTTATCGTCATGTTTTCTTGTTTTTCCTGTGTTTAGCATTTTCTTGCAGGGAAGGAGAGTTCCTCAACATGCAGTCGCAGCAGTGCCAGAAGTGCGCTGCAGGCACCTACTCTTTAGGAACCAGCGTTGCGTTTGACGAGTGGGACGTCCTACCAAAGGGATTTATTACTCATGGGATGACAACAAGTGAGGGGAATGCCTTTATAAACTGTTCCAAGTGGGTATAAACAGTAACTGGTTGTAATATAAAATATTATTTATGGTTTAAGGCTTTCAGTAAACAGTTTCTGTTCTTGCAGCTCTACCTGGACAGCCAAGGGCGACTATGTAGCCTCCAACACAGATGAGTGCACTGCAACACTCTCTTATACTGTGAGCCTGAAGACACCTGGAGCCTTGTCCTTTGAATATTTCTACCCGGACAGCAGCATCTACTTTGAGTTCTTTGTAAGTGCAGAGGTTGTGTTACCGCTTCTGGTGTTGCGGGGGGAAAATTGAGGTAAAGGTTCCCGCTCCTCTTTAGGTTCAGAACGACGAGTGTCAGGCCACAGACTCTGACAGCCGCTGGATGAGGATTTCAGAGACCAACTGGAGCCACTACAAGGTTCGTCCACTTCAACGCAATTCATCTTCTTATAGACAAAAAAACTGATCCCCATCCCCTTCACATTTCCTCTCTACAGATAGAGCTGAGCACAGGCAACAATGTTCTGTACTGGAGAACCACAACGTTTTCTCTGCTGGGTAGTGCCGTCAAGCCTGTGCTGTTAAGAAACATCCAGGTCTCAGGTACATTAAAGCTTCCTATTTGTGTGTGCAGGGAGAACGAACGTTTAGTTTTCTTCCCCGACATCCTTTGTCTGTTAATGATTAATTGCTGATTGATCTTTTCCCTGCAGGGGTTGCCTACACGTCTGAGTGTTTCCACTGTAAGCCAGGCACACACAGCTCGACAGCAGGATCCGCCCGCTGCGCCCCCTGCCCTGCGGATACGTACTCCAACAAAGGGGCCACCGTTTGCCACGACTGTGAATCAGACAGCTATGCTGGTACACTTTTTGTTTTTTTCTTCTACTTATTTGCACTTAAACAATGTTGCCAGCATGCGACGTAGAACATTTGGTGCCCAGGAGGTGACTGACAGTTCTTATCACAAAATCTTAATGTGAGTTTTATTCTCTTTCACGTTTGTTCGCTCGGTTTTCACTTGTGTGTTTTGCCACCAGTATCTGGCTCAGGGAGCTGCAAGCCAAGGCCTGCATGCACGGAAAATGACTACTTTTACACCCACACCCCCTGTGACTCTGAGGGAAAGGTAATTATGGAAAACTGCCTTCTTTTGTGGTGCAAGCAGCTATAGAGAGGATATTTTTTGTAACCCACATTCAATGTAATTACATTTTGCTGGCTGTTTGGAGTGATTAGGACAAATATTCATAACCATTGAACTTTTCCCCATTTTGCCACATCAGTCTCGGTCATGGTCTTCAAATTTTGAAAGACAATGGTGGATTGCATTTGTATTTGGGCCCCTTTCAAACTTGTATCCTAGTGAAACTAAGAGGTAAATAGAGTCCATTTGAATGTAATATGATGCCAGCATAAATAAAGATATTCTTCAGCATCCCACAATGCAAACATATCAAATGTTGAGCAGATCATGTTTCATATGAAAAACTGTGTGTGACACAAAGTATATCACATGTCACCCACACTAAAACACCATCAAACCATATTCATATTTGTGTCTCAAAATGGTCCAATCAAAAAGCAAACCTAATCCAACTGAGAATCTATCACAAGATTTTAAAGCCATGTTTACAGATGGTTTTTACCCAACTTGACTGAGCTCAAGCTATTTAGTCAAACATTTAGTTTGTATATGTATGATAGACAGGAGATAGACACCTCAAAAGATTTGTAGCTTTAATTATAGCAGACAATTTACTGATTCAGAGGGTTTTGAATGCATATCCACAGCACACTTTGATTTTTTTGAAAACCAGATATCACTCTGCTTGACATTTATGAACTGCTTTGTGATGATGAGGATTTCATGTCGCATTATTCAAATTTGTGGCCGAATGTGAAAGGCTTAACATATTTAAATGCTTTTGTAAAACACTCTGA